GGGAGAGGGTACTTCCCAGGTACGGGAAGTTCTCTACCATTTGCAGTTGGGTTCCGTTCCCGCTGATTTGCGGCAGCGCGTTGGGGGCTGTGGCTGTGTTGGGTGGCGGTGATGCATCACCACCGTCTTCTGCGTGTTGATAACCAGCTCTAAGTTCTCGCAGGCGGCGGAGAATAGGTCCATGCTCCGTTGCATCTCCTCTTCCGAGGTGGTGTTCAGGACGCAGTCATCGGCGAAGAGAAGTTCGTGGACGCGCGATTGGAAGTGCATCCGCCGTTAATTCAGCAGGTGACCGTCCGCCCTGTAGGCGATGCGAATCCCGGGACGTTCGTCGCGGTAGGCGTCCATCAGCATGGCAGAGAACATAAGACTGAAGAGGGTTGGTGCCAGCACGCATCCCTGTTTCACTCCGTTAGTCACTGCGAATGCCTCTGAGACAGCTCCGTTGTCCGTGACTCGCGCCATCATACCGTCGTGCAGCTGGCGCACCATCTGAGTGAATCGCTCCGGACAGCCGAATTTCTGCATGATCTTCCACAGTCCTTCACGATTCACCGTGTCGAAGGCTTTCGTCAGGTCCACGAAGGTAGAGTACAGGTGGGTCCGCATCTCCTGACACTTCTCCTCAAGTTGACGGGCGGCGAAGATCATGTCCGTGGTCCCAAGATTACGACGGAAGCCGCATTGGCTTTCCGGCAGAAGGCCCTGTTCCAGATGGTTGTTGAGGCGGTTGAGAAGTATGCGAGCGAAGATCTTCCCGGCGATGTTCAGTAGGGAGATGCCACGGTGATTGTCGCAGACTTGACGATTCCCTTTTCGCTTGTATAGGTGCACGATTGTTGCGTCCTTGAAATCTTGCGGGACTTCACCTTGACGCCACATCTCCTGGAAGAGCGCAGTCAGGTGATCCATCAGTAGGGGACCTCCGTGCTTGTAGACCTCAGCAGGGATTGCGTCCGATCCGGGTGCTTTCCCGCTGGAGAGCTGCTGCACGGCCCTGATTGTTTCCTGGAGAGATGGCGGGAGGTCGAGGTCCGCGTTGGTCTCCACTTGCGGCATACGCTCGATGGCGGCGTCGGAGATGACGGAGGGGCGGTTGAGGACGCCTCGGAAATGCTCGGCTCATCGCTGTAGTATTTGCGTCTTCTCATTAAGGAGAGTAATGCCATCGGCGCTGAGGAGAGGAGCAGTGCCCTTCGTCGGCGGACCGTAGACAGCTTTGATCGCGGAGAAGAAGTTCTTCCATTCGTTCCGGTCCGCGTAGCCTTTGACCTCCTCAGCTTTGCGAGCAGTCCAGGCGTCCTGCATCTCGCGCAGACGTTGCTGAAGTTGGCAGCGACTGCGGTAGAAGGCAGCTTCGGTGGCATCAGTGGGGTTATCTACGTAGGCTTTGTGTAGGCGGTTCTTCTCAGCAAGCAGATTTCAGATGGCGGCGTCGTTGTCGTCGAACCTATCCTGGTGTTGACGGGGAGCGCGACCGAGGACGGCGAGCGCCGTCGACTGGACCGTGTCTCGCAGTTGACACCAGCGGTTCTCCACGGAGGCGTTCTCGGCAGCGGCGGCGTCGTCGGCGGCGGCAGCGATTGGAAGGTTGTCTAGCCGTTGAGCTAGCTCATTGCTGAAATGAAGACGGTGAGCAGGCAAAGACAACAAAGCAACATTCAGCTTACCTGGGGGTCGCTTACCTTGTGGTCTCCTGCGAGGTTGTAGGCGAATTCGCATCTTCGAGATGACGAGGCGATGGTCGGTCCACCCGTCAGCACCCGCGATCTCCTTCGTCACCAGCACGTCCCGCTGATCTCGCCTCCGGACGAGGACGTAGTCCAGCAGGTGCCACTGACGCGATCGAGGATGCCTCCAGGTGGCCTTTTCTCGCTCCGGCAGACAGAAGAACGTGCTCGTCAGGATGAGGCGGTGTTCTGCGCAGGTGCGGAGCAGCAGCAGGCCGTTGTCGTTGGAGCCGCGGAGACCGTGGGGACCCAGCACTCCCCTCCAGGCAGTATGGTCTGTGCCGACGCGGGCGTTGAAGTCGCCAAGGACAATCAACTTGTCCGCCTTCGACACAGTCGCCAAGAGGGCGTGCAGGTCCTCGTAGAATTTGTCTCTGACGGCATCGGGGCTGCTCATCGGCGGAGCGTAGGCGCTGATGATGGTGACGAATTTGCCTCCCCAGAGAGGCAGGTGGAGGCTCATCAGGCGATCGTTAATGCCCTGCGGCAAACAGGGCAGTCGTCTCACGATGTCGTTCCGAATGGCGAAGGCCACGCCCGCGTCTCGTCGCTCTGCCCTGGGTCGACCACTCCAGAAGAAGGTGTAGCCGGCACCCACCTCCTCCAGTTGGCCTTGTTCAGAGAATCGGGTCTCGCTGAGTGCGGCGATGTCCACCTTATAGCGCGCCAGTTCTCGCGCCACTATCGCCGTCCTCCGTTCCGGTCGGTTGCTCCTCGGATTGTCTAAAAAGGAACGAACATTCCAGGCTGCCAGAGTGAGCGGTCTCACCCTGTCAGTCTGGGGAAAGCGAGTGGGGCGACGGGAAGGAGGTGGAGAAGAAGATGACGAAGGAGAAGAATAGGCAGAAGAATAGACAGAGGAAGAGGTAGAAGAGGTAGGATGAGGAGAATGAGTATGGTTGTTGTTGTTGTTGTTGTTGTTGTTGTTTCGATTTTGATTGTTTCGACCGTGCGTCTGCGACCACGGTGCGCCAGCAGACGACGTGGTTCCCCAGCAATTTTTAGGCCAGCTTTTCCAGGCCCGCCCCGAAGGAAGCAGTGCCCTGACCCTGAATAGGGCTGCTTGATGTGCCGGCGCGGCCGAACTCCACTGTGGGCCACGAGTTTTTTTGGCAGTGGAAGAACGACTCGAATTTGCCAACGGCTTGCGGCATTTCCGTAAGCCTGCGGTCTCCTAACGGTGCACCAGATGGGCGCGTGTCAGCGATGCCGATTCGAAGATCCATCCCACCGGCTGATCAACGGCGTGCCAGGCGGAGCCTCGTCTCTACGATGCCGATGCGACGTTCCCCAACCGGTTGACCAACGGCGTAGACGAAGCCACTTCACGACGGCGCCGACGCGGTGTTCCATCCGACCAACGTCCACGGCGTCCGCAGTCACCTGTGCACGCGGCACAACGCGCACAGGGAGTAACCGCCCTCACCTGGTTTAGCCCGCCGGTCGAGGCGGTTGCCCGGGGTGTGGCCGCTGAGCAGAGCCCAGCTACGTGGAGCCACAGGTGAGACTTGAGTGCCAGCAAGTGGACGCTAGGCGTAGTCTCACCTGCAAGCAAGTGAGCGACCACTACGACCTTCACGTGAACCCACCGCTGACACCCCTACACCCCTTTTAACAGAACGACAGTACGAATGCTCGCAGGCAAGGTGGGCAAAAGCGATGATACTCAGATACACTGAGGACATCTCCTGAACGCCTAAAAGTCAAAAAGGCCTGGGATCGGCAGGTTTGGCGCATTGTCGTAAAAAATGTCATAACTCTCTTAGCCGTCAACTGAGTGGACCGGGAGGCACGTTAGATTCCACCTCCCCACAGGCCAACGTCACCCAGGCCCAACGTCGGCCAGCATGTCCGTAAGTTTGGCCAATATCTGAGGCACGGACTGGTCTCATCGGGTACCTTGGGGGTCACCATTATATCAATACGACCCGTCAACCTCCCACACAACAAAGTATCATCACCGCCGATTGCACGACTAAAAACAAACCTACCCCTCCCCGTCCTCTCTGTAAACACGTTTCAGTCTCGGCTCGCCCTGGTCAGACATGCTCGTGCTCACTCAACGGGAACTCCGTTAGGACACTAGTGAAACCCACAACCGCCGTTAGGAAAACAGACTAACTGCCAGTTTGTTCCAGTTGTGACCGTGCATCCCGATACCAGGTTACCTGAAAATTTGCTAACCCTATTTTACGCGGAGAAGGCAAGGATAGGCTGCCACCTCAGATCGCATCAATGTGCATTTACTCATTCACTTGCTCCTATGGAGCAGGTTATATTGGGCGTACGAGTTGGCGCCTTTCCAAAAGAATACGAGAACACCTTCCCGCATGGCGGGCAAAAGATGAAACTGGGAGAATAGACAGCGACATCCTTGCGCATTCAGTGGATTCAGGGCATCGTGTGGACCCCAGAAGAACCTCGTTCAGGCTCGGCGCTTACCGTGGTCAAAGGTTGACTAACCACATACAACTTCCTGCGCCCTTACGCTCTTGTCTAGTCTGTATTTTAAAAACTAACTTTTATCGATTTTTTTTCACTCACTGTACCCCGTCCCACATAACTGCACTGGCCTGACAAGACGTTATCGAAAACAACGTTCGCTCGCCACCTTTTCTTCTGAATATAGCTATGGGGATTTTCACAACTCTAAAATTTATAGCAGTGTGGGTGGAGAAGCATTGTCAAGAGCAGTGTTTGACATTTGTAGCGCGCGCAATGTGCCCGCACATTTGGCCACCTCATACACTTATCCGTGCGTATACGCTTGCGCGGAAGCCCTCAGTAAGGTAATTCAGGCCTAACCTTACACTGCCTGACTCCGCGGGCACGCGTGCAAACTCCACTAGCCTGTGCCTACATCTCTTCGATTACACACCCATACAAGTCAACGACCATCCAAAAATCACACACTGCTCACCCAGCAGTCCTACAGTGCGCTTCGCCAGCGCCGTTGTAACCGGCGAAACAGTGTAGCATTTGCACGTTTTTTTTTCTGCGTTTGGGTAAAGTCTAATTGTTGTGAGCGATGAACCAGCACCTCTCTGCTACGCCTGGATTAAGACTCCTACGTTATTACCATTCAGCTATTGGTACAGGAACTAGGAAGAAGAATGATTTAGGTTAACCCTGGAGAATTCTTTCTTACGGCAAACCAGTGCATTCATCCGTGTACTAGATCTGACGCACTAAGAACTCGCAGGACGCAGTAATAGTCGTAGCTTGTAGGTCTCATCGAAGATCGACGGTCTGTCCGTAATAGTATCTTCCTACTGTATTTTTTATGACATCCACCTGAATAAAGCCTAGTTCGCAGGGAGTCGTTGAGGCGGTCGCGTGTGGGACGTGTAAACGAGCCGATAAGCGCAGCCAACCACTGCTCCCACGCCCACCTCTGGTCGTTTTGACCCTGTCTCGCCATTGGAAAAGGGTAAGTGTGGAAAGCGCGGTAGATGCAGCGCAAGCCGACCTAGCTATAAACAACTTCGCGTACCGGCTACAGTTGCGCTCATCTCCTAAGGCTGTGGTAGTCCTCGTCACTTGCTACAGTCAAAATATCGTTCGTGTTTCCCATACCCACCGACCTCATGGGCGCGCTGTAGGCCACTGACTACACTGACTGACGTCTTCTGACCTCCCGGCACCTACACTGTGAACGCGCAAGTTTGCGCAGGGTTACGAAGCTATGCTCAGTGCTATTTTGTAAGATCTTACCGATGGCTTTCTGATCTGTCGATGGCAATGAACGTCACTGCAGTTGTACTTTGAGCATCTCATTGGACAGCAAAACTTATCGCCTCCAGCAAGACATACATTAGAGCCTTCAGTTACAAATTTGGGCTGCCAGTTTTACAGTCCTATCGGTCTCGGGGTTCACTCCACTGGACATTTCATTTTCCACCAACGTCGCTGCGACTGTACATTTAAAACGTCAGGTGAATCCTAAAATTGGACAGGAATGCATAACAAAGACGCTTTCCGAAACAAAAAAACGTACGTGAGGATGAGCGCTTTTGTTAGATGCAAACCATTTCTCCCCATTTACCGAGACTTGATAATGGCACTTCATCTCTGTAGGCCATAACGAATAGTGAACTACGAGTTCTCCGTGGATATACTTCTCATTTTATACACAGGCAGCTCGCTAAGAGTGCAACAGGCCAGACGCAGA